GAACTGTGTTTCCCCAAGTACTCAATTCTTTATCCAGACTTAATAATCCCAACTTTAGTGCTTTCGTGGGACTTTGTATGCTCCTCACTGGAGACACTCACCACACCACATCCTAATCATTTGTATCCATTCCAATCTACCAATTAGAATATAAATCTATCAGAATAAGAATAGCTTTTTGCTTTAACTCTCCTTTTCCCTTACATTTGCCATACGTAGCAGGCAGGTAAATACCGAATGACAAGAGACATTAGTCCTTATAAGGTCTTGTTTCAGTCACTCCTTTTCCTGCCTTATACATTCTATTTCCACCCCCATACATTAGAGCCCCATTACCTCTGAGTTCTCTGGCAATAAATTCCGGATAGCTTTCTCCCTGGTCCCTTTTCTTTCCAATTCTCTTCTTACCAAGGTAGACTAACTTCCTCAAAACACAGTTCTGAGCTTGGCTCTTCCCTATTCAAAACCATCCTTGAACCTGTGGTGCTCACCAAGTAACATATGGATTCTTTACTCTAAATGCAAGAGCATCTGGGCTTAATGATTTCATGTTCACTTGGATCATTCTTCTACACCAAAAAGAACTGTGTCACTTCCTGCTCTCTCAGATCACGTAAAATCCCTACACCTCTGACCATTCAAACTTTATGTATAGACATTTCATCTTTTTTTTCTTTTTTTAATGTTTTACTTATAGACAGTTCATCTTCAAGTCAGATTCAGTCACCCTTATTCAGCCTTCCTTGATTGGATGCATGCAGAAAAACGACAACTCTTCCGAAATCTCACAGCATTTGGTTTTGCCTCTTCCGTAGGATTTAATCTACACAGTTCTAACGTGTTTTCGATACATCTTAGCTCATTGATAAGGTCCTCGACATCCTTACAGAGCCCTCTGAGCATCCTACCCTTGGTCGGTGCTCACCGGGTTCACTCTGGTGCAGCAGTGAATGAACTTCTAAATGTTAGGTCATCCTGGACCCTCACTAAACTGAGTGAGGCCTAACCAAACTCTCATGCTTTAAAAAAAAAAAAAAAAAAAAAAATTTAGTGAAAACCAACTAACTGACTGAACGTCTATCTTCACAGTCCTCCCCAAGACGAGAACACAGGGGCATGTCAAAAGCTAGCTCTCGGAAAAATCTGACCTTACTGGCTCATGTCTCAAGAAGTCAGGTCAATCTAGGATGGAAAATTCATCTAAGTGGATGGTAATCACCGCACAGTGACAGCCAGTGTTCAACCCTGGGCGAAGCGTTCACTAGGCCCAATGCCCTCATTCCTACTAACAGCCAAGCCAGAGGGAGCCACCCCACACTGTAGCCTTGGGGGACTGAGGTCAAGGGAAGCTCAGCACTTGGCTCCATGTTGGGTATCTGGAACGGCAGAGCCGGGGTTCACACCAAGTGAAAAACATCTACTAAAGGACGAAAGCTCCCTAACCAAGGAGTTACCATAGATTCCCATCATTGAAAAGAGCTTCATTTATGTCATATTTCAACACTACCACACACTTCTGAATCTATACTGCACGGCCAAGGACAGGCTTCCTTTCCTAGGGAGCTATTTCGGCCAATGGAGTTATCCTGTAACTTGGTAGGAAAACCAGCAAAAGAATTCTACATTCTTGTGCCTGTACCTTTATCAGGGATCAGGCAGCACTGGCCTCAAGTATAGATGCTAAACTGCATTTCTGGACCAAGTAACAACTCTAGGGCACCCTTTGAATGTTATGCTTACAACGAAGCTTGCCACTAGGTGGCAGAAGTACAAAGTTAATGGAGCGATTTCTGCTACATAAAAAGGAAGTAGCCTGACATTTTCCCACTCCTTTTCCACAGTAACACAAAATCCTGTGACACTGTTAATAGTTTTTCAAAGATTATTTGGTCACTTTGAGAGTGGCATGTTATACATAAACTGTTCAAAATTAAACTATTCTCCCTTATTGAAAACTGCATTATAATGTTGATTTTGAATATCATAACATACACAGATTTCCACCTTTTACAAATGTTTTTAATGTTTATCTTTCTTGAGAGACAGAGAAAGAAAGATAGAGCATGGGTGGGAAGAGGTAGAGAGAGAGAGGGAAACACAGAATTGAAGGCAGGCTCCAGCTCCGAGCTGTCAACACAGAGCCTGATGCGGGGCTCAAACCCACGAATCGCAGGATCATGACCTGAGCCGAAGTCACATGCTTGACCGACTGAACCACCCAGGCGCCCCTCGACCTTTATTATATTCAACACTAACCACAGCTTCAACTAGCTTTGAGCATATAAGTAGAACCCTACTATCACTGAATTAAATAAAAAATAACACACGATACATTAAAATACATTGAGACTGAAATTTAGTTTTGTGTAATGCTATACTAGGTAGATAACAAGTGCTTTTAAATCACCCTGGTTGCAACACCTATATTTTGCCAAGTTTGTTGTTGTTGTTTATTTGTTTTGTTTCATTTTGCTTGTATTTCGTTTCTAAATGTCAAAATAGAAGGTTTCAGGTTCTATTTTACAAACACTTCTCTGCAAGTAACCCTGAAGACTACCAACATATAAAATGCAAATTAGGCAAAATCATCATTATGTGTTTCTTCATGACATTTACTTCAAAAATACAGAAACAGGGTGACTGGGTGGCTCAGTTAAGCATCTGACTTCAGCTTAGGTCATGATATCGCGGTTCATGGATTCGAGCCCCATGTCAGGCTCTGTGCTGACAGCTCAGAACCTGGAGCCTGCTTGGGATTCTGGGTCTCCCTCTCTCTCTCTGACCCTCCCCCACTCATGCTCTGTCTCTCTTACAAAAATAGACATTAACAGAGACACACACACACACACACACACACACACACACACGAGGAAGCCTGATATGCTCTATAAGAAGTCTGAGGAAATAAATCCAACTTAAAACATGATTAAACATCTTAGGGCATTTAGGTGACTCAGTAGGTTAAGCACTTGACTTTGACTTAGGTCATAATCCTGCAGTTCGTGAGCTCAAGCCCTACGTCGGGCTGTGGGTTGACAGCTCAGGGCCTAGAGCCTGCTTCCGATTCTGTGTTTCCCTTTCTCTCTGCCCCTCCCCCATTTGTGCTCCGTCTCTCAAAAATAAACATTAAAAAAAATTTTTTTAACGCGATAAACATCTCGAGACAAATTTGCAGAATTATCTATCCACACGTGTGCACTTCTGATGACTTGTGCCCTGCTTTGTATCCCTTTGGTACAATTTCTTTGTGGGTGGAAATTAAACTATATATATTATTAAATTATTAACGATGTATAATTAAATTATATTTAGCAAATATATAGGTAAACTATATAATGATCAAAATAATCCCGTAAAGTTAGAAACTATCTCTTGCATGTGTTCATTTAACATGCACCCAGGAAGAAAATATTTTAATGGTGATTTTTACTAAATTTATTAAGCAGAAAATAAAAGCCACACCTTTCACATAAAGAACCTTCCGGAACTATGCAAGTCTTTTATTTTGGAGCAGGGGGCTGAGGGTGAGGGCTCCTCCAAGAGCAATGAAGGGCATTTCTTAACCATCAGTGGGAACAGGGTGGGTATGAATTACACACACAATAAGTATTACGTCTTATCATCCAGCAAAGGAGTCAAGGTAGCCCAGCCTGCTTCCCGCTTGGGTCAATTATGTAGAGCAGAGCCTGCAGGACAGGAACCCGTGCCCTAGGCCGGGAATGCCTCTGTGGTCCTTCCCACAGTTCCACAGGCTTCTTTGGAAATATGCAAATGAGCCAATGGTGCTCAATACCGAAGACCTGCAGAAGACGCCCTGGCCCCGTGGTCCCTGTACACACTCAGATCCACAAAGCCTCACTCCTCTGGCTTCCAAGTTTGCAAAAAGCTGCTGTGTGATCCCTCATCGACAGACATTAAGACAAAACGGAGGTCCTCTCCGGGGATCAGTGGGAAGGAGCCGTTCGTTTCTAGGGCATTCTTTTCCAGGGCAAGCACCAATTTACACCTGTAACAGTCTAGAAACATACGCGAAAAGGAATTTGCAATATAGACACACGGATGCATTTCCTCCTCCGTTAGCTCTATACTGCACTGAATGCATTTCTGAATAAGTGAAAATTACACAGGAAGGTAAAGGTGTCTGGATGCTTCACAGGCTATGAAAAGAACACACTTCCGTAGCCCTGACAGTTATTAGTTGATTCAAAGCATGAAATGCTGATGTTCTACTCTAAAAATAAGGGCAATAACCATCATAAAAATTTCTTGGACCCATCATCCCTCAGGGGTTGACAGGTATCAAACTACACGTCTACTTCATTCCTAGGAAATAAAAGAGATTCAGAACCTATAACGGTGTCTTAACATGAAAAATCTCATTTACACGTCGTCTGTTGGAAAGGATACAGGAACAATTTAAAATATCAAGAGAAGGTGGGGCGCCTGGGTGGCGCAGTCGGTTAAGGGTCCGACTTTGGCTCAGGTCATGATCTCACGGTTCGTGGGTTCCAACCGGGTGTCGGGGTCTGTGCTGACAGCTCAGAGCCCGGAACCTGCTTCGGATTCTGTGTCTCCCTCTCTCTGCCCCTCCCCTGCTCATGCTCTGTCTCTCTCTTAAAAAAAATTTTTTTAACATAAAGAGAAGAAAGCTATGGGAAATTCAAAGTGTCATAAAAATCAAATTTTTGAAGAGTCCCTATTAACTGCTAGAGTGGAAGAGAGGTCTCTATCAACAACCCCCCGCCCCCACCCAGAATCGAGCATGTCCCTGGTGCTCGACAGATAGCTTTTGAATGAATGGTGGCAAGTGCCACGTCAGGGAACTTCACAGGGTAGCAACTTATTACACGAGAGACAACTTGGTGTTAAACAGGACAGGAATAATCCTGACTTCAGTGCTGTCAGCACAGGGCCGCCTCCAGGTCACACGAAGGGTGACACTGTGACGGGGACCCCGTACGTGGCCGGTCACCTCCGAGAGGCCCCTGCTAGGCCCTTACCTCCTCGCCGCTGTCTTCCGGCCCCGACGCCAGGCGGGGGCTCGGCCGCGGCTGGCTGCTGGCGCCGCTGTCGCCACTGCCCTGGTCACACGCGGCTTGCGCCGAATCCCGGGACGACGCGGGCCCGCGCGCGCTCTCTTCACCGTCCACCGAACTCAGGGACAGCGCGCTGAGGCTGCCGGGACACGCGGCATTTCCGGCGCCGGGGCTCTGCGGGCCGGGGGGCTTGGGCGTGACGGGCCTCGTGGGGGTGGGCGGCTGCTCGGGCTCGAAGGTCGACCGGCGTGCGTCCGCGTCCGGGGGGGCCTCCGCCGCCCGGGGCCGAAGCACGGCCGCGTCCGCATCCGCCGCGCCGCAGCCCGGGGCCGCGGGCGCGCCTGCGCACCTCCTCCACTCGCGCTCGGCGCTGCTGGACGCGCGGCGGGAGTAGGCGTCGTGCAGCCGGCTGTGCGCCTGCAGCCTGCGGCCCGCGTCGCCCGGCGGGGACGCCGCGCCCCGGGGGCTCTCTCTCCTCCAGGCGGCGTCGCTCACGAACCTCAGGACCCGGTCCAGGTCCTTGGCCCGCAGGGGGCTCTTCCAGCGTCGGGTCCGCCGCTCGGACGCTCCCCCGCTGAACTTGTCCGAGTCGGCGGACGAGCTGCTGAACGTCCTGCGGGGCGCGGGCTTCTCGGGCGCCCCCGGGAGGTCCGCGAGGTTGGAGGCGGACTTCCGTTTGAAGGAGCTCTTCTTCAGAAAGGCCAAGTTGTCGCTGCTCTTGCTCTTGCGGTAGATGATGCCGTTGTTGCCGGCGTCCTTCACTAGAATCTCACACAGCGCGGGCTCCCGCGAGGCGGGGCCCGGGGCCCGGGCGTGGTTCTGGGGCCCCGGTGGCCTCTCGCAGTCCAGGAAGCTGATGCGGCCCAGGCCGTAGGCGCGGCGGATGCTGCGGGACCGGTGGGTGCTCCTCTGGAAGGCGTCGTCCGCCTCGTCGGGGTCCGAGCAGTCGGACGCGCCCCCCGGCCCCGCCCTGGCCGGCTCGCCCGCGGGGCCCGCGCTGCCCTGCGCTCCGGCCGCCGCGCCCTTCGGCAGGGGTCTCCCCGGGTCGCGTTCGGGGGCGTCCTCCTTGGCCGCGTCTGACCCCTCCCGGTTCTGGATTCCCTGAAGGACGGAGGACTTGAGTTTCTTAAAAGATCCCATTTTCCGAAAGGAGGCAAGGGCGTGCCAGGTGGAGGAGCTGCCCACCAGGACCACGGAGCGGGGCCGCTCGGGGAGGGCGCCGGCCCGCTTCCCGCTCGCCGAGAAGAGGCGGACGAGCCTGGCGGGGCTGAGTCTGGGCTGGGCCGCGTCCGCATCCCCGCGGGGGCCGCCGCAGCCTCCGTTCCGGCACGCGGGCGAGGTCACCATTCTGGGGCCTTTGGCATCCGAGACGGAGCAGGGGATCGCGGCGGGTCGGCCGTGGCCGTTCTGGGCCGTTGTCATGGTCTCGGGGCGGCGAGCCCGTGGCCACGGGGCAGCGGGGTTCAAACCCACACGCACGTCTGTGTCCGCAGGCCCCGGGCGCAGGCCTTCATCTCCGAGGCTGCAGGCGGCCCGGCTCCCGCGCCTGCCGTGCACATCGGGCTCCCGGCTGGGGGCCACGGCCTGCAGCGGAAAACAAAGCAGGGATTTAGTCACGTAACCCCCACAGAAGAACCGCGAGGAACAGCGGCTTCTTAGGCTTGTCTACTGATGGCCGGTACAGAAGAAACACGCCTCATGACAGGGTGATCAGATCAAAACTATTTTAAATTAAGCGCGCCTGGATGTCCCAGTTGGTTAAGTGCCGAATTTGGGTCAGGTCATGATCTCGGGACTGAGGAGTTCAAGTTCAGCGTCTGCTCCGCCCCGACAGCGTGGAGCCTGCTTAAGATTCTCTCTCCCCCTCTTTGCCCCTCCTCCACCTCTCAAAATAAATAAACTTAAAAATTTTTCTAAACCCTTTTAAGTTAAAAAGTTACCTTCCCTAACTCATTTCACAATGAATTAAAAGGAAGAAAGCAAATACACCTTCCTTAACAAAAGAAGGTAATTATGGGTTGTGCATTCAGCGTAAAGGTAAATTCTTGAATCCACTGAAACGTGTTTAAAACTTTTGAAAAACTGCTGGAATGTAAAGGCCAAGATGTTAATACTGGGTCTTCTGTTTGAAATTTTTAATTATTAAATAAAAAAACACCAACAACTATTTTAAAACGTGTCAGAGTGAAATATCAACCTGTGTTAAACTTAACACAGCGACAGGGAGCCTGGGTGTAAGAACCAGAGCAAGGAGCCTTGGTAATGACAAGACGCTGTCACCTGCCCACTGTCTACAAAAATATCCAAAGTGCTACAGGGACATAGGAGACAAGCTGAGGTTGCATGCATGAGGTCGGGCTTGGTAAAGGAAACCGCATCAGTGAGGGGCCTCTATCAACAGGATTCTTTTTTTTTTTTTTTTTAATGTTTATTTATTTTGGACAAACAGAGAGATACAGAGAATGACCAGGGGAGGGACAGAAAGAGAGGGAGACACAGAACCTAAGCAGGCTGCAGGCTCCGAGCTGTTGTAGCACAGAGCCTGACACCGGGCTTGAACTCACAAACTTGGAGATCGTGACCTGAGCCAAAGTCGGATGCCTAACCGACTGAGCAACTCAGCTGCCCCCGTCAACAGGATTCTTACTGGCTGAGAAATGGAGGGAGATAAGGATATTACTTAAACATTAGAAATTCAGACACACAAATTCAATTTAAACAAATGTTACACCTTTTTTTAATAAAGCTTTTTTTTTTTTTATGTCTTTGAGAGTCAGACAGAGAGCGAGTTGGGGAGGGGCAGAGAGAGAGAGATCTCTGAGCTGTCAGCACAGAGCCAGATGTGGGGCTCGAACCCACACACGAACTGTGAGACCATGGCCTAAGCCGAAGTCGGGCGCTTAACCAACTGAGCCGCCCAGGTGCCCCAAGCCCCTTCTTCTTTCCTCCCGCATGCCCTTAAGCCCACCACACCCCTGCAGTGCATGCTCTCTCCCCCAAGTGAAGATGCTGCTCTCCTACCCTTTATGCCCATCTGGCCAGGGCCTGCTCAGCCTTGGTGGGCCAGCTTAAATGTCACAGCTACCCCCTCGTCAACTAATTAGTCAATGACAAAAGGTAGGAAAGATTGTGAGAGTCGCCATAAAAGGTTACCACTCACTAAGTGTTTACTACATGTCAGGCCCCTGTGCTAAGTGCTTCTGAAACGACATGCCCCTGGGGACTCCTATAAACCCGTAAGATCAACAGAATAATTTCCATGTTGCAGATAATCAAGTGCACACTTGGGCACGGGGTGCCGCGGCGTCCCGCACTGGCCCTTCCAAAGCCTCTGCTCTCTCCACGCCTTCACGCTACCGAACAAAGAGAGAGACAGAGCTGGGAGATGAACCCCTATCTTGGTGCCCGACACCACATTCAGGGCCTTGTGACATAATCCCAACTCAAGTCAAATCTCAGAAGTCCATATGCCAGTCAAGGCCACTACTCTGCGGGGCACGTTAAAGGCAGAAGAAGGAAAGGAGGAGAACGTTGCATAAAACCCTTAAGGTTAAATCCCAATGTAGCTCAGTCCCTGCAAGTGCAGAAAAAAACATGACCTCCCGCAAAGAGGTCTCATTTGATTCCACTCTCCACATTCTCTCAGGTTCATTTTTATTTCCCCTACGTGGTACCGCCTGAGGGATTTCCAGGGAGACCCACAGTTCAAGGGCTGATTCTATCTAGGACCAGGGAGGCTACACAGACTGATGTAGCCTGGAGCCTCTGATGTCCAGTTACTCAACTCCAGGACTCAGAAGCCTAACGGGACTAGCACATGTCCTCCCCGGGTTAATGTTCTCGTGGAGAAAACGGGGAGCCTCAAGAGCTGTGGGCTGCATGTGAATGAACCATTCACGAAGCAGAAACTTGAATCATCTCAGCATTGAGGCTGGATGTGAAATTCATAAACAGTTGCAAAACTAGACTGCCAATGAGGTTCCCCTGTCCACCCTCACCTATTCGGAGAGGGACAGGGGGCTGTGGTTGTTTCGGCTTCTCACGGTCTTGAAACGAAGCAGATGGTTTATGCAGACATCAAGTCCAGTCAGGGGCCCTGGCCGATGGCATGTTACGTAACACTTAGTGGCCTTGTTACGACTTGCCCTGGATACAGAGGTGCAGACGTGATTCTTGTCTTGCAGTCTGCCTGGACGGAGACACCTTCCCGACACAACTAGAGGGCGTTATGAGACCTTTGACAACGAAGGATGGAAGTGTGTCAGGCTGCCCCTGGGGTCTCCAGGAGTGCGGGCCGTGATTGGTTTTAATGTTGCATAGGTTCGAGAATGTTCTCTGACAGGCACGGGGGCAGCCTGGGTTTTAACCTCAGTACTGCCACGTGAATCTTGAGTCAAGTCATTCGAGTTTCCTGTGGTTCAGGGCCATCCTTCAAAGAGCAGGTGCCAACAGCTACATCTATAGTAGATCAACCAACCGATTCATTCATGAACCTCTGCTGGTTACGAGGATACGCGTGGGCCCCATGCCAAACTCAGAACAGTGACAAGGTGACCACCCATCCTAGATGGGAACTTGGCATGAGCAAAGGAAGATCCAGGAACCTAATTCTGACTGGGAGACAATAAATTTGGGTGACCAGTTGGCCCAGCTGGCCCGGGGTGAGGTATTTTCCAGGACATGAGACTCTTGGGGCTGAAATCCGAGAAGTTCTTGGCCACTGGGATGTCTGGTCACCCTCCATTAAGTAGGACGGTATAACTGGAAGGATGGCTCAGCGTCCTGTAGTAGTAGCAATCAACGTGACAACAGGTTGAGAAAAGATCACATCCTTTTATCGAACACATTGAGACTGTCTACAAGGCGCCATCATCATTGGGAATCCCTTCCTGATCCTCCTAAAATTAATGGCCCGTACTATGGGTGATGGGCATCTCCCCACATTGCTTTACCATGACATTTAATGATGGGTTTACATGGCTGCCTTCAGAAAGGCCATGAACTCTTCGAGGATAAGAGCAGTGTGCAACATGTACATAATTTACATTTATCTCGATGTAATATTGGATCTATTATCCTGCCTTGTCCAGGTCTGTGCCAACCTAACAATTCATCAATCCCACCTATCTTTCCAATGTGAAGATGTTTCAGTATTCCCAACACTAAAAAGTCTAAGTATGTACTTAAACCTTACGTTTCAAGATACAGATCTAGTAAAATTCACACAGATCGGAGCTGCTGACTGGGGCAACGTGCTTCTTAAAAGACCAGTGACTCTTTCGTTCATGCAGCTGAATAACGCGATTGTTGTGTGCTACTTGGAATGAAACCGAAAATCACAGAAAAAGGCTTTTCCTGGAATTTCCCAGAAACATACCAAGTAGCATTATTTAGAACTAATACTTTGACCTCTATTAGCTAACAAGGGTCGCGATTCAATTGCTGGTTTTGTAGTAAGTCTTGTAAAGTGTGAGGGCTCTGCCAGAGAGATTTAGGAGCAGAGTACAAGGGAGAAGTTTAGATGGGAATATTGTGAAATCCACTGTCTACAGGCTGGATTCTGGGGTGTCTGAACTTTAGAATACACCATTTCTTTTCGCTCGTAATGAGAATTCCCTGAAAACAACTATGGCCAGTAATTTTTGAACACGAATTTAGACTACTTGAATGTGAGGTCCAGAACTCTATACCAGGTTAAATGTACACATGATTTGTCATCTGTTCGTGTAAATTACAGAAAGTGGGACATTGGAGGAAAATACTAGTGGAATCTGAAAGTCTCAATCTTCCCACCAGGGCACAGTAGAAGATTGCCTCTGGGAGCATCGAACGGCCATCTTTAAAGACTGGGCGCTGGGACCCGGCGGGTCTGAGAGATGGACTCCTTGTCAGGCCACAGCTGGTGAAGACACAGTGGACTGGGAATCAGAGGGACCAGGTCTGGGACCAGGTCTGGGCCCAGCACGGCCACATCCTGGCCATACCTGGGTGTGACCTTACAGCTCTTCCTTTCCCTCCGGATCTCACTGGTCACCAAGTTTAAGAGCGTCTAGTCCACATCTTGACAATCCATGCTCCATGTGCCTTCCACCTGGACACCTGCATTAGCCTCCTGAAAATTCTCCTGGCTTCGCACCTGACGCCCCCTCCAAGCTGGCCAGCGTCCTTCCCAAAACCCCGCAAATGGAGTCGTGCCACTTCCTCTAGTGGCCCTGGCTGCCGCCTCTGAACCTTGAGAGGTGTCAGATCTCAGCCTAGCACTCAAGCCCTTTCGCTCCAGCCATGCTGAGTTATGTACGGCGAGGCTGTCTCTTCCCACTGCGCTTTGGGTTATTTCCTTGTTTGCTCTGATTTTCTCCAGCCACTTCTGTCTCTTTCTATCGAATGGAAGCACAGCTCCCGGGCTCCTCTGACAAAGGGCTCCTGGCCAAGCCGGCCAATGGCTACGGGGGGGGGGGGGGGGGGGGGGGGGGGGGGGGGGGGGGCCATGTGTGCGGGAGGAGGGAGGGTAGACACCAGGGTACTGCTCTCGGTGTGGGCTAAGCAGGGGCGTTCCCAGCAGCCGCCGGCCCCTCTGGCTCCGG